GTCTAAATGATCTTAGACAAACGTCTATAAACCATCACGCTACGATTATTAGAAGCTGAGCAGAACAGGGCGCTTATTCTTGAAACTAATCTCAATGTCAATGCAATTTCAATCCAATAAAATCTCAATAATTATTCAATGTCAATACTATACAACCACAATCGTAGCTGTGAAAACAGCATTTAGAGTACGGAATATAAAGCCAAACTCAATACCATTTAGTTCATTCAATATCCACGCAATACGGATGCAATGGGCGCTAGTGTTATACTCAAGAGTACGGAATTTCACAATACCAATGTTGATCGATCGGAATCGGATTCAAGAGTAAGTCCCCAGGTAAAACCGCGTGATGGTAGCCAGTGTCAAATACATTTACAGACTACTTAATCAATGATTCTGGCACACGATCGCATTAATTAAAACGTAGAATAATGTATAATAACATTACAAACAGTACTACGGTAGTAGGATATCTTAGGAAATGAATTGAATTAAAAGTCTGACCTATAAGGTCACTTGAATCCATTATCAGGTACTTGTATTGTAAAAACTGTACCGTGTAGCATTGCGACGGTATTCTTAAAGTAGGTAAGCAGGGGTTTTTTTTAACATGACAACATCACGCCTCTTATCCCCGAAGGGGTAGGCAGAGGCAACATTATGCCACTGTATAATGTAACACCCACTTTTCACTATTTATGTTATGAGTCCCATGTAATAGGGGGTTAGGAACCTATTGCCATATACCGGGCACAATTGCAGACTCCGTGCTACTACTGAGATTTTTGTTTTTAAAACCCCGTAATAGTAATCTTTAAGGGGAAAAAGTTATCGAATTACTTCTCCTGCCTGAGTGACGCGGGAGGGAGTGTCAGACTCGACTCTTATTGACTTAAAGACTCCGTTCCTACTCCTGCACTTCGAGCCGGGGCCCCGGCAACCTGTTAAGTCTTCCGCGGCTCTTACTGGCTTATACAATAAAAAATACTGGACGAGATGATCTAATAAAGTGATCGGTCACGGACTGTAAATGACAAATAACAATGACTTGGTAGTAGCTGATATACCCCGTAATGCCATACTTCGGCACAAATGAGCCGGCTCGACCGGACTGATACCACGGCCTCACAGAAAACCGACGAAGAGGAAACGCTTGCGTTGTGTTTCGTCGTGTGGTGAGGTTACCGGAGGCCCAATTACCCTCCCCTTCCCCAATCTCCCCAATTCCTAAATCCCTAACGATCCTCAAACCCTTATCCCCAAAAGGCCGGTAACCCACTTGTAACGCCTCTGGTGTTCCAAGTGTCCATGGGCGACGCCGATTGCTTACCATCAGGTGATCCGTCTACTCGTATACCGGCTTACGCCACCAAAAAAAATCAATAGAACTAAATACGATATCTTTCCAATAAGCATTTTTCAAAAAATCTGTAAAACTATCTAAGTTTATTGTTAGACAAATTTTATCTAGGTTAACGGCACGGTCATGAACGTCTGCGAATTTAGACTTTACTCTAATATGTTTACATTATCTTTTTCTATTTATCATGTAGTCACTTACGTCATTGTAATTATGATTGATGTGGTGTTCGTGCTAAAATATATGCCTTAGGTAAATATACCTAGGTGTTTTGAACGGCTACGTTGGTCGAGTTCAACTCCCCAGTCGGGCAAAGTATTATTAGGTCTGTCGAAGATATGTGTGACTGTGCTCGGTGTTTTTTTTATGGCATATAAACGAGCAGACGGATCACTTAATGGTAAGCAATCGGCGTCGCCCATGGATACCTGGAACACCAGAAGCGTTACAAGTGCGTTACCGGCCTTTTGGGGATTAGGAGTTTGAGGATTGTTGGGGATTCGGGGATTGGGGAGATTGAGGAAGGGGGAGGGAGCTGGGCCTCCGGTAATCTCACTTACACGACGAATCACAACGCAAGCGTTGCTTAACGTCGGTTTTCTGTGAAGTTTACAGTTAGGCTCATTTGATCACTCCCCATTACATGGGACATAAAACGTGAAAAAGTAGCTGTTATTTAGAACTAGTGCACTGCTGCCCATCCAAAGTCGTAATGTTCTTATTAAACTGTCAAACACCAAGCGGTCACCGGTGACCGCAACCTATAAATTGTTCTATAATTGTGTCTATAATGACGGTACTCGACGAGTTAATTATGTCTCATTCTTAAGGAAAATTACAACATTTAGGTACTTGCAAACATATTTCGCGAACAAAATTCCCATGTGTCCTGTTTGAGAAGAATTATCGGGAAATCCTATCTTACGTGTACCTACTCTTCAAAACACAACATGACTAATTTCAGTTTTCTACGAGCTGTAGTTTTAGCTGTGCGCTGTCTGTCAGTCGTAGAAAAATGATGTAATATTAGCCGTATAAAACGATGTTGTCAGCAAATCTTAACTCTTTGGTTTGAGTACCGTCATTATAGACACAATTAAAGAACAATAGGTTGCGGTCACCGGTGTCCTCGCAGTGTTTGACAGTTTAAATGTGTTAACATTCTTCCATTATTTCAATATTAAATTAACAACAGGACCCGCGCAAACGTGGGCCCCCTGTGCGTGGGCCCCGCATTTCCAAATCCGTCTCTGTCGCAGAGCAATTTTTAGAGTATACCTTTAAAAAATGGAGACATTAGTTTTATTGAATCGATGTCTGTGTTTGACAGAAATTCAACACAATTGATGTCTTAAGTCGATTTTAATCCGAAGATTAATTTCAGCCAATTGTTTACTTAAAATACCCCTTGGATTATTCCTTTTAAGACCTGCAGCTTAAAATGCACCTAAGACTAAAGAATACGGATCAAATTGCAGAAAAATACTTAACATACCTCAGTTGACACGCGAAGTTGTGGTGATCTCAAATTACGCGCGCAAGCATTAAAACCTACCTTGATAGCAAGATGGCGTCCGCTTGCACAGATTAAATATGAAATCCTAAACGGTGTCATCATTTAATGACAGTTGGTGTCAGCCATTTTTTTGTTATTGTTTTTATTAAATAAACTAGCGACCCGCCCCGGCTTCGCACGGGTGCAATATGCATGTATTATACATACAAACCTTCCTTAAGAATCACTCTATCTATTAAAAAAAACCGCATCAAAATTCGTTGCGTAGTTTTAAAGATCTAAGCATACATACGGACATACAGCGAAAGCGACTTTGTTTTATACTATGTATTGATTAAATTACATTGTGAAATGTGATGTGTTTAATTCTTATTTTGCTTATTTTTGTTGATTATGAAGCAGGGTGCTATTGGGTCAGATACAAGTCAGATATATGAGTTGTCCTTACAAATAAATAATAATAGATAATATAAGCTTGTTATTATTACGTGTAGTAATTATGTTGTTTCGGCAGGTGCCATAGTCATCCATAGTTCCCAATGTACCAGTCCAAAGCATCCCATCCATAGCCCTACCTGTTTTTTCCATTATCTACAATAGTTCTACACAAACTGGGACTGTCCTTGTAAAAACTAAAATCAGGTTTTAATTCACAACTGCACTTTATCTTTATTGATTTTACAATTTTTGTCAATAAACCAATAATCTTCTTTTTGACGCTCAACCACAATCATAAACTCGCGCCATTTTTTTCCCATGTTGCTCACACACCCACAGCCATAAGAAAAACATAAACACAATTTTATATTGAAATTGTTAAAAAATTGTCTATAAATGACTGCACGGTTGGCGCGGTGGCTGGGCAACTGGCTGCCGCACAACGTGTAGCGGGTTCGATTCTCGCACGGAACAACTCTCTGTGTGATCCACAGATTGTTGTTCCGGGTCTGGGTGTCATTGTGTATGTGAACTTGTATGTTTGTAAACACACCCACGACACAGGAGAAAATCCTAATGTGAGGCAACGTTTTATTTAGAAAAAATAAAAAAGTAAAGTAGCAATTCAAATCTTACTTTTTTTTTAAACATCATTAACTACAAGATATTCACAATTAAGTAATCCTTACTAATATTATAAATGGGAAAGTGAGTTTGTTTGTTTGTTTGTTTGTTTATTTGTTTGTTCCACTTTCACGCCGTAACTACTAAACCGATTGCTTTGAAATTTTGCAGACGTAAAGTTAGAAGTCTGGATTAAATAATAGGGTACTTTTTATCCCGGAAAAAATGTATATTATCGAGGGAAAACGAAATTATTGGTATAGATGGCGCTGTGTGTATATGTCACATAGGCTACTTTTTATCCTTTTGTGACGCGAGCGAAGCCGCGGGTAAAAGCTAGTGTTTAAATAAATATGATTAGCTTGCACTTAGGTGCATTTGATGACCGTGACACAGGCTCGAAACAGGAGTAGGAACGAGGTGGCAGTAAGAGTCTGATACTCTCTCTCGCCTAACCCAAGGCGGAAGAAGAAATTTGCATATTACATCGCCATATTTAAAGACAGTTCGAAGCCGGGGCTGACCATCAGTATCATTTGAAATTTGATTACGTAGCCACATTGGTGAATTTAGTGCAAAGGTTATTTTATAAAACGACGCGCGTTTCCTATTGTTTATATTTAAAACATTATGCAATGAACTGTTCCAATTATATTTTAATATATGCTTACTGCTTTATATTTAGCTTTATTCAATTATTGGAAACAAATGTAGGTTATACCTTTTGTGGCGGTTCCACACTATATTCGATCAATCGGTCGATCGATGGCATCGATCAGTGTTAAAATGATTAAGTCGACGTCGCTAGCCATTTTCGACCAGACCAACCGGTCGATTGTCGATCGATCGATGGTAGAATAGATAAGTCAACATCAATCGAGCTGCTTGAGCTCCCCATTGTCACCCACTGCCCTTCCGATTGCAATCGGCATCGGCCAACGTTGGGTTGGCCATCGACCGGCAACCGATCGACAACCGGCGACCGCTCGTTGGTCAATCGGAATCGTCAATCAATGTATGTCAGTACAATGTTTAACATATTATTTCTCTTTGTTACAGGTTGAAAATGGAGTTGAAATCACCAAAAGCGAAGAAAAAGTCGAGCATAGACAAAATCATATCTTGGGGCAGAATGTTCAAGACACCTTTGCTTATACTTTTTTTATTGGGCACCACAAACTGTGAGCGGGAAAGTGAAGTGAATGAACTAGATTCTAATTTCAAAATTCAAAGTTTTGCTGGTAGCCATGTTAGGCATAGACACGGGAATGATACGGACAGAAATAAAATTAGTGAAATTAAATATTTACGGCGACATCTTAATAAAGATATCGCTAATTTTGTTATGACTGACTTTTTAATTGATGGCGAAGTTGAGAACAGAGTGCATTATAATGGTGTTACTGCTAAGGAAACTTATGTCGGATCTGATGGGTGAGTATTTTATTATTTATTTGGTCTTTAATGTACACAATTTGATTATGGCACATAAGGCGAACTTAATGCCATATGGCATTCTCTACCAGTCAACCTTAGGGTTTTAGTAGAATCTGCGAAAAATAAGGTACGGAGAATAAACTAACAGCAAAGAGAGGGAAAAGAAACAGTAATAAAAAAATATTTTAATTATTAAATATTATGGCTATACATATATATATTACATAATAGTAAATAGTATATATAATCATATGCATAAAATATATAGGTATAAATACATACATAAATATATATCGACGAAGACCTAGACCTAGCGTTGCAGCGATTTTAAATAAAATTCATGAACTTGATGTTTAAAGAAGATTTTATTAGGAGCTTTTTTGATATTGAGGGGGAGCGCGTTCCAGAGTTTGATATATATTATCTGTGCCTTTAGCCAAACGCCACTTTAGCGCTCGTCTACAGAGAGAGTAGAAAACTAAATGTATAGGGATGACACTGACAAGTGTCAAGTTTTACGTCAATTCCATATAATTTAGTTTTCTATTCTACATTTAGACAAGCGCTAAATGGCATTTGGCTACAGCTTCTGTTTACATAATGCGTTTAAAAAATTGATCTGTCATTTTGAGTTCGCGGTTCTTTTTGATGAATGAATAGTTTTCTGTTTGCGTAAAATAGAATGTTTAAAAAATCGATGTGTCATATTGATTTCGCAAATATTTTGGGCAATAGTTAATAATTCTGTTTGGAATTTGATTGCAAGTTTTTCTAGCTTCGTATTTATACCATATATAAATTTATATATGTTAAATTAATTCATACTAGTTGTAGACCGAACATTGCACTGTGGCACTGCTATGAGCATACAATCTTATACTATTATCTTGTCGCGGAGAACCTAACTGGTAACCGGGGCTCCGACTCGACGTGCAGGAGAAGGAACGGGGTGGTTTTTAGTCAGTAAGAGTCTGACACTCCTTCCCGTCTCACCCAGGCGGGAGCAGTCATTCAATGATTTTCCCCCCTTAAAAAAAATACTATTATATAAAGCCGAAGCTATTTATTTTTGTTTGTTTGTTTGAACGCGCTAATCTCCGTAACTGCAAGTCTGATTTAAATAATTATTTTTTTGTTGGATAGTGCATTTATCGAGGATGGCTATAGGCTATAAATCATTACGTTGCGGCCAATAGGAGCTGAGCAGAGCGTGTGAAACCGCGCGGAAGTAGCTAGTATTTCTATAAAACACTACTTTTTCATAAAATTAGTTTCACTTTAAGTAAAGATGAAGTGGTCAGCTCCAGACTGTTTATATTATTGTCCTTAAGGTTATTTTCTTTTTCGACCTCTTTGACTGGATTTTGGAGACATTGTTCTCCCAAAATGTAACTATGTAACTATACTATACAATGTAACTAAAGAATTGTATTGTGAACCTGATTGAAAAAGAGTAGCCTGTGGAGTTTCTTGCCCGTTCTTCTGCATAGGAATCTACACCTTGGAATGAGCAAATAGCTTCACTTTTATTTATATTTTGTTGACGTTCAAAAGTGCCTTTTTGGTGGTGTGTGGGGAAAATCATCGAATGACTGCGCCCGCCTGGGTGAGGCGGGAGGGAGTGTCTGACTCTTACTGACTAAAAACCACCCCGTTCCTTCTCCTGCACAACGAGCCGGAGCCCCGGTTACCCGTTAGGTTCTCCGCGACGCCTTTTTGGTCTAATTGAAATAAATGATATTGACTTTGACTGTGAACAAATTATGTAAGAAATAAAAAAGAATTAATGATGAGATGTTTGATAGGCAAATTTTTTCTTAAGTACGTATTTAAATTAATACTCGGCGGTAGAGTTAATCTTTAACCAGAGATAAAACATAAAACTGAGAACAGACTCACAAGGAACACATTGTCAACAATTTGTATGATATCATACAAAAGATACATACATACATCTAAACATCCAAGTCTTGGTTATCATACATTCAGTCAGTTATCCTAACCTTTGACTTCATAATACTGATCTTAGTTAATCTAACTCTTGTGCGCATTTTATATCTATTAATTATTATTAATAATATATTTACATAACATCACGCCTTTTATCCCGAATGGTAGGCAGAGATGCACATTACAGCACTTAATGCACTTTTCAATGTTCTTTTTTTATGTCTTAAGCCGGTAAACGAGCAGACGGATCACCTGATGGTAAGCAATTGGCGTTGCCCATGGACACCTGGAACACCAGAGGCGTTACAAGTGCGATATCGGCCTTTTGGGGATTAGGAGTTTGAGGATCGTTGGGAATTCAGGAATTAGGGGATTGGGGAAGGGCAGGTTAATTAGGCCTCCGGTAACCTCACTCACACGACGCGAACGTTGTTTCACGTCAGTTTTCTGCTCGGCCGTGGTATCACTCCGGTCGAGCCGGCCCATTCGTGCCGAAGCATGGCTCTCCCACGCTTAAATGTTATGAGTCGTACGCAATAGGGAGACTATTGCCCTAATTATACCGGGCACATTTCTAGACTCCGTGCTACTACTGAGTACCGCATCATTGTTTACCACCAGGCGAGATAGTGGTCAAACGTCGGCCCATCAAATATTTTACATATAAAAAAATATTATGGTATCGGCTGCCTCGTTGGCCGATTGGTCGTAAGTGCGACTCCAGGGCAAGGGGTCTCGGGTTCGATTCCCGGGTCGAGCAAAGTATTACTGGGTTTTTTAATATTCTCAGTAGTAGCACGGGGTCTGGAATTGTGCCCGGTATATGGCAATGGGCTCACCCCCTATTACATAGGACTCATAACATAAATAGTGAAAAGTGGGTGTTACATTGTACAGTGGCATAATGTACACCTCTGCCTACCCCTTCGGGGATAAAAGGCTTGATGTTATGTTATGTTATGGTATATTTTCGGCTGAGTTATTTACACGTGAGGCGAAAACATTAATAATTAATTATTTTACTTTTTGTTGTGACTTTCAAACCATGAAGTAACCATAAAATAATAATTAATCGCCTCGTTGCCTGTCTCGTTGGCCGAGTGGTCGCAAGTGTGACTGCCGGGCAAGGTCTCGGGTTCGATTCCCGGGTCGAGCAAAGAATTACAGGGTTTTTAAAAAAAAATCTCAGTGGCAGCACGGAGTCTGGAATTGTGCCCGGTATATGACAATAGGCTCACCCCCTATTACATGGGACTCATAACATGAATAGTGAAAAGTGGGTGGTACATTGTACAATGGTATTAAGTGCCGTAATGGTCACCTTTACTCCTTCGGGGATAGAAAGCGTGATGTTATGTTTATTTTTATTTACACTTCTTGTATACAATGGCGGACTTAATAAATAAATAAAAAACAAATAACAATAAAATGAAAATCATTTATTTCGGACATCTAAGAGATCCATAAAATTAATTAATATCTATACCATAGGTACATCATTAATACCATACCATCGCAGTCATACAAAATTTGTCGCGGAGAACCTAACGGGTAACCGGGGCTCCGGCACGACGTACAGGAGAAAGAACGGGGTGGTTTTTAGTCAGTAAGAGTCTGGCACTCCCTCCCGCCTCACCCAGGCGGGAGCAGTCATTCGATGATTTTCCCCCCTTAAAAGTCTGAGTTGATAATGTCTAAGATGACGCATTTTATTCCCCGGGGATCCAGGACTTTTATTATTATTCTTGCAAGAATTGATTCGTTTAAACAAATACATAAATACCTACAAATTATCGTTGTATAATTTCTTAGTAAATGATAAGTTATCAGTACTTTTACTTCTAGTAAATTGCGATGCGGATATTATTATATTATAAATTAATAATATTATACACACTTCGTAACTCGATTAGCCAGTAATCGAGTTAAGCTCAAGGTCTCGATTGCGTTTCCGAATGAAAAAGTATCACTGTAATTTTATAAGTTTGGTGTTACTGACCACTGTCGAATCGGAACCACAACTATTTGCTTGAAGGAAAATAATATACAAGGCGTACTTTTGAAACCGTGGCATTTCTCAAGGGCACGTCACAGAAGTCATAAAGGTTCAATGTAAAAGAAAGTTTCGGGCCAATAGTTAAAAATACGGCTATAATAAATCGTTGAAGTTCGACAGTATTTCAGAATAAGCGACAGCAATGTTTCTTATTGGAGTTTTATGGAATTAGGAATAAGATCAATTACGTGTTTGAGTTTGTGTGTGTTAAGCCGCGTTATAAAGCTAGTTACAAGACGGCGGCGTGTAGTTCGCACTAACGGATTTCCGTAATTTACAGAAAAATTAAAAATATTTAACTCGTCGAGTACCGGTTTTGTAGACACAATTATAGAACAATAGGTTGCGGTCACCGGTGACCGCTTGGTGTTTGACAGTTTAAAAGTACATTTTTTTATTGATTCGGACTCAGAATCGATAGCCGAGTAACCTCCTAGAAAATGACGCGGCTTTAAAACAACACCTTGTATTTGCTAAAACTCTTCATATACAGGGTAACAGGTTAAGTCGACCGAAATCCTTTAAGAGATGGTAGTGTGCATGATTCCTGACCGATTTGACTAAGGAACCCCATATCCCAAATTTAACCGTCCTCAACATATCGCCTTTGAATTACTTTTGTAATTTTTTTTTATGGCATGATCCGGTAAACGAGCAGACGGATCACCATCATGGTAAGCAATCGGCGCCGCCCACGGACACTTGGAACACCAGAGGCGTTACAAGTGCGTTACCGGCCTTTTGGGGAATTAGGAGTTTGAGGTTCGTTGGAGATTCAGGAATTGGGGAGATTGGAGAAGGGGAGGGTAATTGGGCCTCCAGTAACCTTACTCACACGACGAAACACAACGCAAGCGTTGCTTCACGTCGGTTTTCTGTGAGGCCGTGGTATCACTCCGGTCGAGCCGGCCCATTCGTGCGGAAGCATGGTTTTCCCACACTTAAAATTAAAATAGATAGATTGGGAAAAGGGGGTAATAGGGCCTCCGGT